AGAATAAACAAGAAGAAGAAATAGAAGTTGTACCAGCATCATATTTAACACATAGCTTAGTATTTTTAGATAAATATACAGAATATCGTATTCAAGTATTGGCTTTCAATCCTGCTGGTGATGGTCCTCGAACTCCATCTATTACTGTGAGAACTAAGCAGGTATATCATTATATTTGAAATCTAATAATAATTAAATTGAAATCATAATTAATTTATCTTATAAAAATATATTTAATTATTATATTATTAAATATTATTTGCAGGATATACCTGGACCACCACATAATTTACAATTCTCAGAAATTACAATGACTAGTCTTCGTGTTTCTTGGGAAGCACCAAAACTACGAAATGGTGAAATAGTTGGCTATATTGTTACATATGAAACAGCAGAACAAAACGATCGTACGTTTTTAAATATATATGCCAATTATTTGAGAAATTTAATTATAAACAATTGTTCACATAGAATATAACGTTTTAAATTATTGTAGGTTTTAGTAAGCAAGTTAAACAAAAAGTAACGGAAACAAGTTTATTAATTCAACCTTTAGAAGAAGAAGAAACATATACTTTTATGGTTCGGGCGCAAACCATTGATTTTGGTCCACCTATATCCGGAAATGTCACGACAGGTCCTCAAGAAGGCTCACCTATGGCACCTAGTAATCTTGCTGTTACAAAAACAGTATCTAGTGTTGAATTACAATGGACTAATGGAGCTTCCGGGAAAGGACCTATATTAGGATATTATGTTGAAACACGACGAAAAGGTAAATAACAAAATCTTTTATGTTATTTAAAATATCTTTTAAAATATTTAAAATCCTTTAAAAATTGAAATAATTGTTACGGAATTAATTTAAAAAATATTAAAAAATATATATATTTATATAAAATATGAAAAATAAAAATGAAAAATAGAATTTCTTTGATTATTTTGATTTTATATATATATTTGTAATATAAGATTCTAAATGATATTATTTGAATTACTAATATTACCTTTTTTATAATCATATAGCAATGGAAGAGTGGCAGCATTGTAAGTGTCAATGCACGTAAATATATTGAGCGTCGATTATTGTTAGATGATTTCAACAATTAAATATAATTTTTGTTAGTGTTAAAACATAGCATCCTGTTTGTAATTAATCTGTGATTTGTTTAGTGATATTTGTACTGTTGATTGCATGATGATGTCATAGCATGACATTTTCCATGAATTCAATTAGAAATTCATCAAATATTTTAACTTTGAATGCTGCTATAATTATATTGTAATAAATAAATAGTTGAAATTTGACATGTTAGATAATGATATTCCTACAATTTTAATATCCAGTTCCTACATTTAATATTTCATTAATACCCTTTAAATATGTAATATAGATCACAATATAACTTCGCAAGTTTTCAATTATGATTAATTTTTGAAATGATTAAAATATTATTTTTTTCTTGTAATATATTATAGGAAAATGTACAATATAATATATAATCTCAAGAAAACATGCAGAAGTTTTAATTATATTTGATTTCAATATTATATTGAAATTAAATAAATATTATTTCATTTTTAATTATAGATGACAGTCGTTGGCAGACAATAGTACGTAGTAGTAATGGACCATTGACAGAGTTTTCTGTATCTTATCAAAATTTACTTCCATCTACATCATACTTATTCAGGATAATATCATATAATCGTTATGGAATTAGTTATCCTGCATATTCCACAGAAACGGTAAATATTATTGCTACATTATATACATTTTTTATGAATATTTTTATGCATTAATATAATAAATATTATATATATCTTTTTTAGATTTTAACTCCATCAAAATTATATTTTGAATATGCATATTTACAACATAAACCATTTTACAGACAAACTTGGTTTATGGTTACTTTAGCTGCTGCATCAATTATAATCATTATAATGGTCATAGCAGTGCTATGTGTAAAAAGTAAAAGCTACAAATATAAACGTAAGTCATAATAAATATATTTTAATGCAAAACATATAGATTAATGATAATGAAATTGTCTTAGAAGAAGCACAAAAAACACTTGAAGAATCTATGGCTATGGATACAGATGATAGACAAGAATCTGATTTAGAGCTTTATAGATCGAGACAAGGAGGTGGTGGTACTATGAATATAGCAAATGCTTGCGGTACATTAGGTAAAAGAAATACTTTAGCAAGAAAATCTATGCATCCACCTCCTCCTACGATGTTAGGTAAATCACCTCCTAGACCTTCACCAGCCTCAGTTGCTTATCACAGTGATGAAGAAAGTTTGAAAGGATACGATGAAAATCCTGATGATAGTAGTGTTACAGAAAAACCTTCTGAAATTAGTTCAACAGATTCTCAGGTAATTCTTTATATTTCTTCCTTAAATATATTAAAAATAATAATATGATACATAGAATATAATTTTGTTTTATAGGGATCTGAAAGTGAAAATGAAAGTGTACAATCGGATCCACATTCTTTTGTAAATCATTATGCTAATGTTAATGATTCATTAAGACAGTCTTGGAAACGTCAAAAACCAGTTAGAAATTATTCATCATACACTGATTCTGAACCAGAAGGTAGTGCTGTTGTCAGTTTAAATGGAGGACAAATTATTATGAACAATATGGCAAGGTCAAGAGCACCATTGCCTGGTTTCTCATCATTTGTATAATTCGTACATAATAAAAAATTGAAGTCTTTTTAAATAGATAGGGTGCCGAATTACAATCAATTGCCTAATATTTATAATTGTTATACAGTAAAATTAAAATAAATTTATGCTGAGCAACAATTAATTTGAAAATATTTGGATAAAAAAACTATTTAAAAGAAAAATTAAAAAATTACTACATATATATAGTATATGTATGTGTACCTATATATATATATATATATATATATGTAAGATGAGACTGGTTGTTAAAATTTTGATAATTTTTATAAAAGTTTCTATAAAGAATAGTTAAAATTTTAATAGCTCAGCATCGAAATTAAAATACACAGAGTTAAAGACTTATGTTGAAACACAAACTCGAGTGTTTCACATGCTACGTATAGTAATTTTAATATGCTTCTGGCACCATCATATTGTGATATATTAAAATACATATTATTTATAATTTTAGATAAAGTCAAAATATATGTATAATGAATATTTTTTATTTTTATTAAGTGAAGTTAAAACAAATTATTGCATGGATCTCGAATAATATAATACTTATGCATTCTTTTAATTATAAGAAAAGATAAGTTGTTTAAAACCATTTGTTAATATAATATATTAATAATAGAATAATATTAGATTGTGAAACAACATCGTAACGAAAACTGCCAGAAACAATTACTTAATAAATCCAGAAAACGAAATATTTTAATACTATATTATTAAAACATTTAAAACAACATTGATTATAAACTTTCTTTCATGTGAATAAATTCTTTTAATATTTCTAATTCACATTTATACTACAAATGAAAGTTGTATAATATCAATTTATATAAATATATAAACAGTTAATTAAAACTATCATATCAGAAATAATCTTCACAAATTAAAAATAAATTTGATAACATTATTGTACTGATTAAATAGTAAACAAATAATTACTTATGTAAAATATGACTGCGTGCATTTTCATGTCTAAAAGACTTTCTTTTTAATAACATTATGTATAATGTATATAAAATTTATATAAATTATAGAATACTGATAAAAACTCTTGTATATTTAGTGCACAGTTTAAGTAACATTAGATCAAATTTTATACTGAATAATTTTTGAGAATTTTTTTTTTTAATAGATAATTCATCATTTATTTTTATCCTTTTTAAATTATAAACTCAAGAAAAAGAAATGTAGCTTTAATGCATTTACATACAAACAATATATGCAATCTATTTAATTCATCATAATATCATTTGTAGTATATAATATTACATTTACAGTATTGTGAACATTAGTATAATATACAGACTTATTCAATTTAGAACAAAATTTTTTTACTAATCGTTCTATGTAATTATTATTTTAAATACGAAAAACATTTTAAATTGATATTGATGCATGAAATTTTTTTTTTAAATGAAATGTTTTTTATTCTTCTTAATACTTATTTTGTAGTAAAAAAAAAGATTATAGAAATAATATAAACAAAATGTTAAAAAATTATAGAATATATAGACAAATTTTTAAAAATATCTTTGATATGCTAAATGTTTTATTATGTTAAAAATCTAGGAATTTATCGAAAATATAAAAAAAAAATGACATGAAATGAATGAAAATTAATGAACAATTAAGTAATGGCAGCTATAATTCTATTATATTTAATAGAAAAATTATTAATTGTAATTAACTGATGAATTAAAATTGATAAATTATATTAATTAAATTATTAATTATTGAATTTTTAATTTGATTTTAATTAATCATAATATTAATAAATAATATTAATTGCAACTTAAAAATCATAATTAATATGTGTTATAAACTAGATAGCAAGTTATTTAGTAAATATTTACTTTTAAATGCAATCATCTTTTTATTTTTATTATATTTTTATTTTTTCTTTTTTTAAAAAACTTGCTTTTTAGTTTTGTTGTATATAGTATTATAATATTAATTTTATTTTTTATTTGTTAGCATCAATCATTATCATCTTGTCATAAGCATTTTTTCTCAGAAATAAAAATACAATTGTTTCTGAAACACTGCCAATAATTAATTTAAATATACAATTTTTTTTATCCACATTTCTATGTACTAATAATAAATTAATAATAAATTATTATGCGTATTGAAAACGCGTTTGAAATTGAATGAATACATTACTTATACAAAATATTTTAAGTACATGTTAATAAAATTTATATAATTTTATTGACAATATTTCCTCATAATATTATTTAATAAATTTTAAAATATTTTTAAAACAATTGATATTGTGTTCATAAATAAATAGTACTTGTTTTATTAAGAGATTTTTATTTATATAAAAATTTTTTCACAAGCTTCAAACCATTTGTTAAGTTTTGGTGGATATTTATTTGGAAAAATTTGTTTAATTGCAGACCATGCAGCAATATCTGCTATATCAAGTTTTTTTTTATTTGACCAATTTATATTTAACTTATCTGCTATTAATGATAATATTTCTTGTTTTTTCTTTGATGATTCTTCAAAATATAAAGAATGACATAAATCTAATATCAAATCAATAGTATTTAATTTCTCTACACAATCAGAGTTTTCATAATTATGTGAATTTATTAATCTACTTATATATCTTAGAAAATTTGTTTCACCAGTTATATAATAACTATGTAGACCAGATATAAGTTGCAGATCTTCAACTGAAAATAAAATTTCTTATAAATATATATTATTTTAATTATTAAATATAAAAATACAAATTATTTTACCATCTTTCCAAATTAATGATAAATTAATAATATTATTCTTAGGAGAACTTGTAGTTGATTGATAAATAAAAGATCCTTCTTTATTAAGACTTGAATGAACATAAGTTTGTACTTTAATATCAGTATCTTCCCATAACTTTTGTAATGCAGATATAAAGTATGGTGGCCTTTTAGGATTTACATTAATGATAAGATTTATATTAACTGCCTATGAAAATCAATATTAACAAATTATTTTTTTTGAGCTTTTGACTTTGAGACTTTTTTATAAAAATTTTTATTTTATATTAATTTATTTTATATTACCTGATTTGTGACACTTTTATTGATTGCTGCAACTTGATTTGTCTGTTTTAAAAATCCAGAAAGTGTTGAAACTTGTTTCTTAAGTTCTGCAAGTTGTGCTAATATTTTTTCTTGTCGTGCTTCTAGTGCATTATATTCTGGTAACGGACTCTGAAATAAAATGTTACTCTAAGTATATATAATATTTTGTACAAAACATTAATAATTATAAAATATAAATCTAAATCTTATAAAAACATTAAATTAATTAGGTAATTTTAGAATAAAATTAGAATTATTTGACATTAAAAAATATATATATACATATATATATATATAAAATCTAGAATTTAAAACATACATATTATAATTAATTATAATTAAAATGAAATTTTTCTATTTCTAAAATATTACCAAAGAAATAAATATCTTTATGTAAAATATTATTATATAAATACATTATAATTACTATTCGATCACAATCTAAACTTTACAATTTAATATAATACTTATGAAAACATATTTTTTCATAAAATATATTATAAACATTATTCAAGTTGAAAAATGTTAGTAAAATTTAATATAAAATGGACATATTTACTAGTTTCATGTCAGAAGAAAATGTCCAAAAATACAGGGTTATGAATTATAGATTTGATAGTTCACCAGTAACATTGTTGATTAATACTACTGAACAGCTATAAGATACATACATCTTTTTACTGGGTTAGGTTTTACATGTATTTGGTTATACAACTGTACTTTGTAGCTTTCAGTTTCAGTGCAGTTCTAATTTAGTAAGCTTGCCCTTCTATACTAATTATCGGCGTATTCCCGCTTATCCTTCGAACGAACTAAATTTTTCATATACCGTAGTCGCGTAGTGTCCTGTTAGATGAAAAATTGGAGGGGCAAGCATCGATCAAGCCTGTAGAACCATATTCCCGGTCGATCGTGATTAGTGCTTGTGGAAATTTTGGGAGGAGTCATGCACAACAAGCTCGAGACAGAAGAAACACTCGTAGCTACCATGCTTACTAAACGCGTGAGTAAACCGTTCATTCTAGTTAACTAGCAATGTTTTCTTTCACATCAGCAGGATAACAGAAATGATGAAAACCTTTAAAAAGCTGATAACCTGCTCAGTGATATCAGGCACGATCTTGTTCTCGGCTTCCGTATGGTCGTCTGTTGATTCTTCATGAATATTTCGCATTTCGTACATCATTTTTCTATGATGCAATATTCGTGGCAGGGAAACAATTGGTTTTAACGTATACATTGTCATTTCGTTACGCATTTTGTTCGTTATTCCGTAATTAATTCGTAAAAAACCATCGATTTATATTCACATTCGATCGTTACACTCTCGTTCGTTTTTCGTATTTCTCGATTTTAACTTGACGGCCATTTTTCTTTGATCCCCCCTATCTCTATCGTACTTTCATGCTGGCGCTAATGTTTTCCAATTGCTAACATCCGTTTCAAAGATGGCGCCATAATTTTTGGCAAAATTACACCATATAAGAATTTTACGTTATCGCTATTATTATATTTTATATATTTTTTTACATGTTAAACTTTGAAAAATTAATTTATTTTAATAGTAATTATTATAAAAGTTAATTATAATTATTTTCTCATTTATATGGAAAACAATTTTGAAATATTATACTAATATAATGTATAAAATAATTGAATAGTTTATTATTATTTATAAATTATTGATAAAATTCTAAATTTATTATTTTAGTATTTAAATAAATGTTTAACAAACAAATAATTGATCATAATATTGCTGTTTGTTTAATTAGCAACTTCCATTAACTTTTTCTGATTATTGAATGCAACAGAAAATATAATTTACATAAAATTTTTGATGTAGTGAAATATAAAATATATAAGAAGGAAGTGTTATTAATGAAATATATAATGAAATATGTATAAACAAAAATTGTATAAGATCTGTTAAAAATTAAAACTTAACAAAACCTTAGTTTCAATTAAGATGTCGCGTTCATCGCTAATTTATTTTAAATTAATTGATATTTATTATTAATTAAATTGTATAATAAACATAGACAAAATTTTTTTCTTTTATATTGATAACATTAATTTTTAATTAGTATGATATTATAAGCTAAAAAAAGAATATACCGACTAAACGACATACAAATTAGAATTATAGTGGTGTCCTCTATCGCAGCTTCTTTATAACTAAGGATAAATCTCTTGCGGGTAACAGCGAACTCGTTCGATTACACATATGAATTAATTACATAATTTGTTTGAGATAAAAAGTATAATTGATCAAAATAAAAATAACTGTAAAAAAAACGGGAAGTAAATAAAGAAAACAAAGCATGTTTATCGGAAGTGCGGTTAGAATCGCGTTCTTCCAACCGCGCATGTCGCCACCTATTGTTGATCTGACAGGCTCTTGTGTAGTTACGGTGAAAGCGATTGGATCTTCTGTACGTTTCGTGAGAAATTAAAAAGCGATCAATTTGTTTTTACATTACATGAATTCCATTGAAACTCAGTCAAGAAGAATGTATCAAGCTACAGATTGTTCTAAATAGGAAAAACGAAAATTTCATCAAAGATTTTGTCTACTTTTCGAGTAGATGCGTTCGAGGCCAGACATGGCGGCGATCCGATGAACCAATTGCAGCAGCGCTCTCTTAGAGGATCAGATATTGTAAATTCCCCTTACATTCGCATCAGTGAATGATTCTGTACTTATTTTGGTCGTTACTGGTAGTAATACAAGTTCTTAACATTACGAAAAGGTGATTGTCGTTCGCCGACAGAAAAGTAGAAGACACGCAAGATCGTACGAAAGGTTGATCATGAAAGAATTGTGTTTGGTCACGTGACCATAGCCGAAAAATGGCGCAAAGATCAGAGTACAAACATGGGTTCCATTTCATTGCTACGGTGTCATTTGTATTTGTTTACAAGCGCGCGTTTTCACAAACCACGTGTTAAGTAAGTGCCATTTCGTTGACAGTGCGTGACGGACAATGACGGGGAGAGGATCGAAGAGACGGGGTCGACCCCCGAAATCGGTGGTCATGGAAAGACCAAAAAAGTTTCAATATCATCTTATGAAGAAACCAAAATATTTGCAAAACAAGGGTTCAGAAACGCCAAATTCACAACCAAGTACACCGACACCTTCGAGACCATCATCGCCAGTCGAAAGCGAAGAAAGCAGACGAAGTACACGAATTCGAAAATCTCGAGGACCCAGAGACAGACATTCGCGCAAAGGTGGTCACTCGAGTTCAGGTGCATATCAACGCCGAGGTTACAATCCTAATGTTGATTATCATGATTCTGAATACCATTATGGGTCGGATTTTGGAGATGAATCTAGTGAAAAAAGTGAAGTTGAAGAGGATCTCTTGCAAAGCGATGTAGATTCATCTGAAAGTATAGAAGAACCTGATCCTTCCAGTGACAGTGATTTTTCCCTCTCCAGTTATAGTACTACTAGTGGCACACCCCGTAAAACACTTCTTAGTCAACAAAGACCACCAAGTCCAGAACCATTATGGCTTCAAAATAGAGAATTGCCATCATTAAATTTACCTAAATCATCTGATGACCTATTAGTTCCCAGAGAACTTGTTATGCCATGTTTATCCATTTATGAAGTATTGAGACACTTTCGCACTTTAGTACGTCTTTCAGCCTTCAGATTTGAAGATTTCTGTGCTGCACTTATGTGTGAAGATCAAACCAATTTGTTGGCTGAAATACACATTATGCTTATTAAAGCACTTCTTAGAGAAGAAGATTCTCAGCAAACACATTTTGGTCCTTTAGACCAAAAAGACTCTGTGAATGTTAGCTTATATTTTGTGGATTCTATGACTTGGTCAGAAGCTTTACGTTCTTATGTAGAAAGTGACAAGTCATTTGATCAAAATATTTTACATATTTTATCAACATGTGAATATCCTTTTACTTCTGTAGAAGATAGAATCAAGGTGCTACAATTTTTAACAGATCAATTTTTAATTACAAATCCAGTAAGAGAAGACCTATTGCACGAAGGTATATTAAATGGTATTTCATGTTATGTTTTATTTTTTATAGTTATTTTTTTATATAATTTATATGTAATTTATAAATATATATATAATCAGCAGGAAAAATTTATATGTCCATGCTGAAGTTTTAATTATATTTTTTTTTATGTATAAATGTTAAAATATTTTTCAAAATAATAACATTAGATATGTATTAAATTATTTATATATTATTAATATGGACATTAAATAATTCTAAGTTTATTTTAATTTATTAAATTCTCCTTATTTTTTTTATTATTTTTTCCATTTAATTATAAAAATATATAATTAAAATATATATTTTATATATTATATAAACATTATCAAATCGTTATTATTATTAAAGGGTAATATATATATATATATTATCATCATGAATATTATCATTTTATAGGAAATATGCATTATGATGATCACTGTAGAGTATGTCATCGATTGGGAGATTTATTATGTTGTGAAACATGTCCAGCAGTTTTTCATTTAGAATGTGTTGAACCTCCATTAGTTGATGTTCCTACTGAAGACTGGCAGTGTAGTACATGCAAAGCTCACAAAGTTACAGGAGTTGCTGATTGTATACCTGATGTTGAGAAAAATGGTTCTCTTTGTCGTCAAGAACATTTAGGATTTGATAGACATGGCAGAAAATATTGGTTTCTTGCAAGAAGAATTTTTGTGTAAATATCATTAATATACAAATAAAATAATACAAATAATTTTTTATAATATATATCATTAATTACTAAAAGAATGCTAATTGTTAATTATTAAAATTATTTGTTATAGTGAAAGTGAAGATGGTGAAGTTTGGTATTATAGTACAGCTTTACAATTAGAGGAATTAATGCTTTGTTTAGATCGCAATGAAATGGAAGTTGCACTTTACCGAGAATTATCAGACTACAAAGATGAAATTGTAAGACAAATGGAACTTACAGAACAAATTACTAATCAATATAAGGGTAATAAAAAATCATATCTAGAAATCGAAAACAGTAAGTTTAATTAAATAATTATTTTTATTTCATTTTTTTATTTGTGGTTTAAATTTGTGATTTAAATATTTAATATTCTTATTTAATATTTCACGTTTTACAGGTCTTATACAAAAATTACAAAAAGAACGTCAAGAAAAACAAGAAAAAGAAGAAGAAGAAAAAAAAGAGAAACAAAGACAAGAAGCTGAAGAAATGGTACGGAGAATACATGAAGGTACAGATTCTCTTGAAGAACAATTATCAGCAGTCACTGAACAACAGGAAATAAAGACATCTGAAGATTCAAATACGAAAGAAAATACTCAAAAAATAATTCCAGAAAATGTAGAAATAGATAGTATAGATACTAATTTAACAGATGGGGTAAATAAAGAAGTCAAAGCTAATACATCATCATCGTCATCTGAAGAAATAGATGAAGAGATACTTGAAGGGGATGAAAGTATCTCAAAAATTGGTAAAGATGGTAAGTTATAAAGTTATATATTTTAAAGAGAGACAATAATTAACAATTGATAAATCTGTTATTTTAGGGAAAAAACACACTATTGTAACTAGATCAAAAACAGGATCTTTACAACCTAGGACATTTAATATGGATGATCTAAAAAAACGTAGTACTGGACAACTCTCAAAAGAAGAGTTAGAAAAATTAGATAAAAGTTTAAAAGAAGAAGGAGATAGTACTAGATTAACAAGACAAAAAGCTCATCAAATAGCTTCTGGTACGCATTTATTTAAATTGGGAATGGATAACAACTTTAAATCATATGTGAATCAGTACAGTACTAATCCTATTGCTTTGAATAAGGCCCAACGAAACGAAGAACGTGACAAAAAGAGACATTTATCACACAAATTTTCACTTACACAGGCTTCTGAATTTAAATGGGTAGGAAGTTTGACAGGAACTCGTGCTCTTTTAGTAAGCACACTTCGTCAGACAATTCTTCAACTCGAAAGCAGCATTCAATCTTCATTTATGCATACTAATTGGCCTCTTTTACGTAAACCTTGGACTACAGCAGTAGGTGCTTGTGTTAATCCAAGAGATTTTGCTCGTGCACTTATTGTATTACAAGCATGTATTAAATCAGTAGTATTTGCTAGTGTATGGCACGATCAACTTGGTCATGTAAAATTACAAAGGGTAACGGCTCTTGAACGAGAAGAAAAGAAACGTCAAGATAAAAAAGATAAAAAGGAAAGAGAAGATGAAGAAGAACGTAATCGTTTATTTAATTTTGTTAAATATACATTAGGCTTAAAACATCAAGTTTGGAAACAAAAAGGAGAAGAATATCGAGTACATGGACAAGGTGGTTGGCTTTGGGTATCTGCCAGTCGTCGCTATAGATATTCTGATATGTCAAAATTAGGTCTTCGAATAGGCCCACAGAAAATTATGGTACAAATTAAAGATCAAGAAGGATTAAAAATTTTAGCTTTAGATCCTCCCACATATGATTTTTTGATAAAGGAATATTGTTCTAAAAAAGAAGAAAATAATATGAACATAAAAATAAAAGAAGAAATTAAAGAAGAAGAAATATCAAAGGATACATTAACTGATACATGTATAAAACAAGAATATAAAGAAGAAGACATAAAAAAAGAATCAGTTGAAGATAAACAAAATAAAGTAGAAGTAGATACAAAAACGGAAGAAACAATAACAAAAACAGAATCACAATTAATTAAGCAAGAAACAAAAATGAATTTATCATGTATGTGGAATAAAAACATATTGTTATTTTTAATTATATATTATATTAATTTTATATTAATTTTTTTCTTTAGTTTTAGCTGGTATGAAAATCAAGAAAGTTTATACACCTATAAAAGAATTTGAAGAAATTGATATTACTAAGGCATTAACAACTAATGGAAGACTTCATTATCCAAAAATTGCTAAAAAAACTAGAATTGATGATTTCCTAGCACGTAGAACACATTTAAAACTTTTAGAAGAAAGAAGATTACTACAGACTGTAAGTAAACATTAACAAAAATATCTCAAAAAAAATAATTTTAAAATATTTTTAAAATAATCTTAAATTATAAAATATTTAAAATATGTAAAAGATATATACATTATAAATTTTAGGAAAAATCGAAAGAATTGTTAAATCAATCAGCGAATCAAAAAGATGGAGATTCTGAAGTTGATATAGAAAATAATGAAGAAAGTGATACAGATGGAGGTGATAATTCTTTACAAAATATTCTTACTGGAAAGCAGCCTAAAACTATATCTACATCAGCTAGAGAAATGTTAAATGTAATAGGAAAGCGAATTCAACATGTTAAAGCTCAATATGCAAGCATAATGAGACTTAATAAAAATGGCAGTTGTTATTCACGATATTGTAATATGACAACACTTCCGGGAAAGATTACAACTGCAACACAAAGTTTAACATCTACTTGTTATTCTCCTATATGTCTTCAAAAAGCAAGATTAAAACTTGATCTTATTGCATTGTTAAGAAAAGCTAATGCTTTGAATAATAATCAATCATTGAATTTATCAGTTGGAACAAATACAATGCAATTATCACAAGCAAATTCAAAAATAGAAGGAAATGATGCTAAAGATGCAATCAGAAAAGATTTAGAATCTGCAGTAGCATCCGCAACTCATTGTACTGAAGAAACACCAGCTACAAATGTAGTAAAAGATGTTTCACCTCCTACCAAAAAAATAAAAGTTGAACCTAATACGGTAAATTATAAAATTATTAATATTAATATATTTTAAATATTTTTTGTATTTGATAAACACATTTAATTTATACATAAAATTTAGTTCTTAAGTATAAAGTATAAAATATAAAAAAGAGATTTATATTTTGTAGACTTCTACTAATGATACCAGTTCAGGATACATTGATGTAGTAACTACTACAAATAACATAGTTACTACAACAACTGTAACGACAACACAACAAACTATAAAAACAATCGATGGTATTGTACAAAGTATGCACGAAAGTACAAGTTCTAAAAATTCAGTTACATTTTCATCTGAAGTTAAAACAAGGTAATATATTTTAAAAATTTAATTTCTTTGAATATCATTTAGACAATATTTTATTTTTATGATGTTAATAGTGTAGGGCAAAAGACAATGATTGTTAATCGAAGAGGAAGAACAGTGCAAAGAAGTACAATGGCTAAAGAATTAAATGCTGATGGCACAGAAAGAATATATTCTACTACATCAACTGAAGGAAAAGTTTATTTGAAAAAAGTTGCAATTTCTTTGGCTGATAGAAAAAAGAAACGTACTCCAGTTAAATATCCCTTATGTTCTACATTTTGTACCAAAAATAAACATCGTAGTATATTGGTACTTCCACAACATGAATTGCGTAAATTAGCTAGAGTTGGTGGTCGAATACAAGTTCAAGGTTTTCATCAAATGGCTAAGGTATTTCTGAAATAAAATTTGTATTAGTAAAATATAAAATATAAAATAAATATCAATTAATTTTAATTGAATTTTTTTAAATAGGCAAATATGTCAGTATGGCCATATCCTTGTCCTAGACCATTATTTAAAACTTGTTGGTTATACAGAACAGTTGGCATAAAATCATTAGCCGCAGCAGCTCTTCAATTAAGAATATTATGGGCATGTCTTCGTTGGGATGATATGGCTGCAAAACCATTATCTACAGATGGCAAACATCAAATTACAACTGATACAGAAATTATGTCACTAGAAATTCTTAAACATCGTCATGTTGGTCAATTTTTAGATAAAACACAATACTTACGAAGAAAAGTTGTTATACCTTTAGAACTTCCAAAACAAGTTAGAGGTTTGTATTAATATGTAAATTTTAAAAAGAAATTAAAATATAATTACAATAAATTTATATTTCATAGAAGTTACATCTATAAGAAGTGGTTTAAGAAAAAGAAAACGGCCAGAATCACCACAAAGTACTGAACCACAAGTTACAGAAGAATGGGTTGATGAAGATAAATTAGAATTATGGGAAATTAAACAATATGGTGATAGGTACGTTTTGTAAAAAGAAAATCTAACTCATATTATATATTTCATTTCAAATTTCTTTCTTTTTTAACTTTTTTATTTAAATGTTTAATTTCAACAAAATTCTATATAATTTAACTTTTTATAATATATAATTTATTGCTTAATTGTATTTTAAAGCAATCTTATATATAATGAAATTAGAATACTATTGATTATATTAAATACCTGCTTTTACCTTAACATCACTCAAGTTCTGACCTATCCTTATTTAACACCATTTGATACTAACCCTCCACTTGGTGTGTGTCCTATCCAGGTTAGAGAAGGCTAATGCCCAGATTATTACTAGGAGTCGATCGGGACAGCCACAATCAACAGTTGGTTCTAACCGAAATGCAGGATCAAATTCTGGTATAAATGACCAACTCGTTAGTGGTAAAGCAACACCTGAAGAAATTAAAGAAAAGATGGAACAACAATTACGTATGCAAAGAGCTGCTCATCAACAAAAAAGAGCATTAGAAACTTTAAAAAGTCCAGCTAGTTCTGGTTCACCTACACAAGTTGTAAAAGTTACAGCTAATTCTGCTCATGGTAAAAGTTACATTTATTAATCTAATTTATTTCAAAATTATAATTAATAAATATAATTAATTATATATTATAATCAATACATTTAATTAAATATATAACATAAAAATATTTTTTTTTTATTATAGATGGAACAGTTAAATTAGTTTCCAAAGTTGCGATACCAGCCAATCCAAATAGTGGGACAAAATCACAGTTAACTTCTCTTTTGACGACACCTACACAAAATAAACCTTTTATTAGTACAAAACGTATTTATATGGCAAAATGTAAATTCAAAATTAAATAATATAATAAATATTAAACTAAATATATTTAAATATATATATATATATGTATATATATATTATATTTTCTTTTAAATAGCATCTCTTGGAACAACAAAAGTTGTTTCTGGACCTACAAGTATTTTACCAAAAACACAACTGCAAACTGGAGGTCAACAGTCTTTAATTAAAGTTTCTGGTCAAGCAGGTACATTTATAATAATTACATTTTGAATTAAAAAAAAATTATTTTTAATAAATCTTTATTTATAAAATAGGACCTATACAACAAATTCAACAAAGAGTACAGATTATAAGAGGACCAGATGGAAAACTTCAAGTTCGAGGTTTGATGCCTGGTCAGCAATTAGTTCAAATGCCTGATGGAAAACTTCATGTGTTAAATAATAGTCAAGCAATTACTACTCTTGCACAAACTGGAACAACTACGCAAGTAATTATTTTTTAAATGTTATAATAAAATATTAAAAAATGCATAAAATGAATTGATAATTAATTTAAGAATTTTTTTTAAGACAAAAACAGCTACAACAACAACTGCAACTAAAGTGACTACAACAGCTAATTGTACTACTAAAACTAGTCCATCTAAAACATCAACAAATATAACGCAACAAGTACAAGCTCAGCAATCACAAGCTCAATCTCAACAAGCAATTCAACGTTCATCAGGAACTGCCTCAGGAACAGTAACTATTGCTACTACACCAGCACAACCTACAAAAAATGCTATTGTAGTAGCTAATACTGGACAAATTGTACAAAGTGCACAAGTATGTATAAATCATTATTTTCATAAAATATTAATTGTAAGTTATATTTAATATTATCAAAGCGCACGTGATAATATATTAATTAATAATGTAGGTAATATCAACTGGTGGTCAAGTCATTAGTGGAAATCAAATAGTGGTTACTAATGCTAATTTAGCTCAACAGCTTGCAAGCGGCAAAGCTCAATTAACAACAATTGGTGGTCATCAAGTAGTTATTCGTAGTACTCCAACAGGCAATCAAATTGTTCATTTGAATTCGACAAATAGTGGTATTATTGTAAAAAATACTGTCACACCAACAAAACAAGGTATATTAGAATTTTATATTTTAAAATATAATTATTTCGATTAAAAAATTATAAATAAAAATTGTTTAATAAAATGAATTTTTAAATTAGTTCCTGTATTGCAATCTACTCAATCAGCAACAACAATAGGAGCACAATTAACTGATACAACAAACAATAATATTAATAATAATACATCGACGAATGTGACATCGACTACTATCACAACTGCAACAAATCAAACATCCAATACTCCAGCACCTGGAAGTGTAGAAGCATCTTTATTAGCTGGTCAACCACCTGGAACTGTTATTAAATGTGTTACTGCTCAAGTTATACAAACTACTCAAGGTCCTCGTATAGTATTACAAGGTTTACAAGGTGCAGATTTTACTCCTCAACAACTTATAATGGTACAACAACAAGTTAAACAACAATTACTTAAAGGTTAGAAATTTTATACATATATATATATATATATATATATATATATAATATTATTATTATATTATATATTATATTATATAT